TTCCCTTGACAAAAATATCATTTCATGCATTTTATACTTCCACCAAAATATTTATTCAAGAAAATTCAAAACATATAACTTCCTAAGCAAAGAAAGAGTGCCATCCACATGCTCTTCCAACTAAACGGAATTTTTGACATCATGTTTCTCTTAATAGATCGTTTTATATTTATGAGCAAAATCCTCTTTGTCCGCTGGTGGTTTTAGTTTATAGAACTTTACCCCCCAGAAATTTAAATACATGCAAACACCCATTTTGGCAAGTTGCATTTTACCTCCTCCTTGTTACTAATTTTGCCCAAACTAACAGAAATTGTATGGCACATGCTTATTTGGAGAGTTGCCATGAAAAAAAGAAATGAGTCAATTTCAATGTACAGAGACAATAATGCCCTCGAATTCTTAATCTTCCTCATTTAAAAAGTATAACCTAAAAATGGCAACCCTAACAGTCACCCCACTGCCTCCGCAACAACAGTCACCCCACCTTCCCACCACCCAATCTCCCATCCTCCACCAACACTGCCTCCCCCACTTTCTTACAACTACCTCCTTGCTAATATGTGGTTACGTTGTGTTAATAATAATATATGATTTATTCGGTTAATATGTGATTTAACTTAGAAATTATGTGTAAGAGGAGGAGAGAAAAAGAATATAAGAGAAAAGAAAGCAATGAGGGCATTAAGATCATTTTACACATACTGTTAACAAAGTTAGCATTGCATTTTGGTCCACTAGCACATCAGGTTCTTTGCATATATTTAAATGTCAAGGGAGTAGAGTGCTGTAGACCAAAACCATAGTGGGGTGAAGAGAATTTTTGCCCTATTTTTATTTACAAGCAAAATCCTATTGTAAGGGACTTCAGGACTGAAAAAGGAAAGGGAAAAAAAAAAAAAGAAAAAAAGTGGCACTTTTTGAAGCAGGTCAAAAGATGCACCAAATAATATATAAGGATGAAAATTCTATCTCCAGGAGCGTTGTTTTCAACTTATGAGTTGATTTGAATCATATAGAAATTTGAGTATATTGTAAACCCTCAATACATGAGATGACAAAATTTCAAAACTCAGTTGGAAAATTTCGTCCCAAAAACAGGCTTTGAACTGAATTGAAATGTAACATGTAATAGAGATAAGAGATGCCCAGCTAGAAAAACTTGAACAGGAATGTCAGTGACTGAAACAAACAACAGCAAAAGCTCATTTAATATGTCTTGTGTCCTGCCATTAGAAAGAATCACAAAAATCATAATTAGGACTTGATTTGAAAGTTATGTATTGTGTACATGTATATGAAAAGTAAAATGATATTAGACGGTGATGAGGCTGAAATAGCAACTTGAAACGTTTAATGTGCACACACAAGCAACCAAGCACATGAGCGTATGGAGACACAGAATACAACCCACACAGAAACATGTGCCGGCACATGCACACATACTCCTTATTAATGGAGTCTCAATCAAAGTTAATTATGTCAAGTAGACCCTGTGATCAATAGATCCCTATGCTCTCATTCATATGAAGGGCAACCTCACACAAGACATCAATAATGCAATTAAATCAGAATGAATGAACAATAGTGCTTTTATCTGTCATCTTGGGACTTAGGAGTATACCCCATCAAGATTCATGGACGAGAATGATACTTCAAATCTTGATTGCATCCACAATAAGACATCAACCAAAGAACTGACGAGAAGCAAGTATGCAAACTGGCAGTGGAAAACATCAACATCAACTCTTGAACAAACACCATCAGATAAAACAAAAGGCTGCGAAGTGCCTTGATCAAGTAGTACCACCATATTTTTCACATGAAATATTAGACCAATATTTAAAATCAAAGAAAAATCAGTAAAATATGCATGTGGTCCATACTCAAAAATGGCAAAAACATGCTAGAGAGATGTGAGAGTGAAATAATTCTTTGGACCACACTTTTGTTGCAATGGAGTGATACAAATGCCACGATCACAAAAATAACAAAAATGTCTTCAAGAGAGCAATTAAAATCAACTAAAGGAACAAGATTAACAGACTCATGAGGTGGATGCTCAAGAATAATATGAAGAGAACTCTCGCCATCAAATACAGAGGTAGAAGTAATAGGACTCATGAGTAAAGTTATGATTAAATTATAACAAGGTTTACTTTTCATATGAAAATCTTACATGTTTCCACCCACTTGTCTAGGTAAAAGACATAGAAACAATCATGATAAAATGCCAACTTTCAACTTCATGAACTAGAGAGAATATTCCAAGAATTTGAAAATAAATTAAAAATCAATCAAGAAGTGCTATGCTTCTTCACTTATTTTTTTCCCTATATGAGGGCTTCTCAATCCCACTATTGGAGTTCCTTTGTAATTATACAGTGTTGTATAGTTGACTCTGCATTGTAATTGTGCTTAATTGTAACAATTCATCACAATCAACTGTAGTAGTGCTAATATACCATCACCAGAGCCACCTACAACAGAGCCAACTCCAACTACAAAGCCACGGCAAGAGCTGCTGCCATTAACAACAGATTCACAACAGAGCCCAACAGGAGCTGCTGCCAGTAATAGCTAATCAGCTCAAACCAACTAGAAGATAGAGTTTGTTAGTTAGTTACATTAGTTAGTTAGGTAGTTACAGATATTATTAGTTTGTTAGACATTTTTTGTATAAATATATCCATGTAATTAGATATTGTTTAGAATGAGAAAAACTTTCAGTACTTCTTCATGGTATCAGAGCTACTCTAAAGCTCTCACGAGCTTGAGGTTGATTCATCCATGACTTCCTCATCATCTTCATCCTTACCTGCTAATCTGAATCTTTTAATCTCAAATCTGCACTCTTTCATTACAGTAAAGCTTGATTCTACAAACTTCATCATCTGGCGCAGTCAGTTTCAAAATATTCTTCGTGCAACTGAGCTTTTAGATTTTGCAACAGGATCTATTCCCTGTCCTCCATTGTTGATCAAGAATTCATCTGGTACAGAGGTATTGAATCCAGATCGAGCACAATGGAACCTCATTGATGCACATTTGCTTAGCTGTATTACAGCAACACTTACACCTGCAATTTTCACATCTGTACTTCATCTGCAACACAGTGCAGAGGTATGGGACACATTATGCAAAAGGTTTACTCTGCTCTCTCGATCTCATATTCATCAAATGAAGAATAGATTGAACAATCTAACTAAGGACTCTAAATCCATTGAAGATTATTCACTACAAGAAATTGCACTTTTGGCAACTACTTTTGGCAACGACATCAATTTTTCATCGCCAAAAGTATATTTTTGGCGACACGGTAATCAATTTCATTGGTAAAAGTATACCTTTACCGACGCAATTTGTTGTCGTCGCTAAAAAGGCATAACATTATTTTAGCGCCAAAATTTCAAAACTTTTACCTACGAGGCTTATATTTTGAGCAACACAATGAGCGTTGCTATTAGCGTGCTTACTTTTGGCAACAAGAAGTTGGGGTGGGCAAAGAGTTAACCATTTAGCGACGATGACACTATTCGTCGATAAAAGTTTTACTAGTGGAATGATGTGATTTAGTGATTTGTGCTTTTGATTATAATTTTTCAAAAAGTTTTAAATATTTTAGTTACTGAATTGTAAAATTAAAATGATCATTGAATTAGATCACAAAATGAACCCATTGAGCTCAAACACACTCTTAAGTTGAGATGACTAATTTGAGATAATTTAAACTTTTTCAAAGAATATGGTTAGATTATCAATTTCAATATGTTTGTTTTTATTTTTAGAAACTAGTTTCAATTTTTTTTCCCTAAAAAACTAAAAAAAAAAAATTGGGTGAAAAAAAAAAAACTTATTATTTTTGTATATTTTTATCTTTCAGGTCATAAATACTTTTTAAAATTTTAAAAATATAATTTTGATTTTTATTGCTTTCAAATTATTTTTAATTTTTTCAAAAAAAAAAAACCTAAATTTTTTTTTTGTGATAAAAACGAAGAGGAAGGAATTCCTCGGGTTTTACAAAATTTTGATCATTTCGAGAGAAAGAGAAGCATGCTAAGCCCTTAATGAATGAAATCATGCTTGTCAGCGTGAGTACTGGGAAGGACCCTGGCTTTCCAAAGAATCCTCTGGACTCTCAGAGCATAGCCCTTTACTAGGTTGAATGAGTTTATTGCTTGTCATCCACCACCATTGGCATCTTGACTAAATCCAATAATTTGCCCTAAAGCCCAAGGCCTCATGAAATCATTGGAAATGCAAGCTCTTGGTGAAGGTTAGTATCTCCTACTGTTTAAATGTTTTATTTATTATGATTATTATTATTCTATGCTTTGAGCATATGCATAAATATCGGGTGTTTGTAAGGGTGTTGGTGAGTCACTCCTAATCTTTTCCATGGTCAAAAACATTATTAAATAATTTTCATGTTCACTTCTTAATATATTCCATACATGTAGCAAGAATCAAAGAGAGTTGGATTGCTTCTGGTAGAGCAGGAGTAATAATGTTCTTTTCAATATCATTTTAACATCAATGTTCTTTTCATGTAGCAAGAATCAAAGGGAGTTGGATTGCTTCTGCTAGCAGTCTGAATTTGTTGTAAACAGTAGACTAGGAAGGCTAATCAAGATTTGCATTGTGGATAGGAAAGAAGGAATTGACAATGATTGGTGGCAATGAAGATAATGATTGTTAATTTGTTATGATGACATTTGAATTATAAGTCTATTTTCTTTTTGATCACCTTTTAGCCAAGTCTTTATTCATGTGTACATTCTCTTTGCTTCTCTTCCTGGAATACTCTTTATAGGTTGCAGTTATGTCATTGGATAGCATAGAAAGTATTGAATGTTGTCATCCAATTTTGATTTTGTCAATGGCTTCTCTACAATCAAAATGTGCATTTAAATGAATAATGCTCAGCAATTGTTGAGCATGGGAGTGTATTCTAGAGACCAATTTTTAGAGAGAAATTTAGTTAATGATATTTTGCAGTCATGTGTGAAGAAATTGTTTCTCTAGTCGATGATAAACGTACCTAATTGCCTTAAAATAGCAAGAACATCAAGTACCCAAGACAAAATAGAAACTTGGTTGCAAGGCGGTAGGGGCCGCCCCATCGATCACTCTTGGTGAAGAAAGACTATTGACTAGTTATATACCAAAACACAGAAAAAAAATCTAGACTACACATTAATTTTTTTTCTGCCTCATTATCTAATTGCATTGAAATCTATTAATTGGGCAGTTTTTGCAGTCTTGGCTTCTTTTACCTTTGGGTAATTTTGCATACTAGGTATTTTACAGTGTTCCACATGCATGCTTAAGCTTCTCACACGTGGTTATGTAATGCATTCTATTTTTAAAATGTTGACTTACATATGATCGAAACTCATTAAAATTTTCTGCAAAATAAATTAATGGAAGTCCATCAGCCTTTATTTTAGAGTTGAATATGGTTGGATCTCTTCTAGTTTTTTTCTCTGATTTTAAGAGACTTCTTGTAGGATACTTTTCGCGGAAGAGTGTGTGAATGTCCTATTGTGCAAGGTTTAAACTTTGTTGGTGATGGTTATACTCATTGTGAAGGTATGTGTTTATTCAAATTATGAGTGTAAGTTTTGCTCCTTTTGGTATATTGCTCAAGAGACAATAGACCAACAAATCTAGCTAGGAAAATCATTTCTTGAAAAGTTGTGGCAGTAGTTTCCCCCTTTTTTTAGTTAAATCAAGTAAAAATGCCCCCTTTTTAGTTTCACCCTTTTTTTTTCAGTGCCATCAGCATAAAAAAATTATCACCATGCCTGATATCTCACAGGATGCTCCATTAAGGAATTTTGATTTTCATGTCTTCTCACTTTTGATGAAACAAGAGAATATTTGGCTGAAAATTTCTAGCAAAATAGATTTGATTGTTAAGTTGCTGATTTTTGTGATTGTGCTGTTACAAACAGATCTCGTAACATCAGTTTGATTCATTGTGGTTCTGATGTCATTAATAACAATGTAACTCTTAAATTTTTGTGGCAACCTTTTTTTTTTTTTTTCTTTTTTGATTGAATTGAAATGTCAACTTACACTTACAGCCAGTAAATAGTATGCTGGCTGCAGGGGTGTACCCATAGGATATTGAAATCATAAGATACAAGGACTTGGTCGAATTCTTTAAATGCGTAGTTTTTCTATTTTTATATCTAAAATAAGTATCAAATAGATAAGATACCGTCTCCAGCGTGATTCATAGTCTTACTTTGAAATATTGTAACTAGGTGTTCATCTTCCTTTATTGTATTGGAACCTTAAGGCTGTGTTTGGATTATGGATTTGAATAGGGATTTGGAAAGGGAAAGGAAGAAGGTAAAGGAAATGTGAATGGAAATATAAGCTAAATCTGTTCTCCATTTCCCCCGCCTTTTCCTTTTCCTTTCCCTTTCCAAATTCTTACCCATTCCATGATCCTAACACAACCTAATGGTCTCTTCCAATAGACATGTTTAACTAATATCCTGCAACCGCACACAAAGTGCCATTAGCTTAGAAAGATGATGTTAACTCTGATCAAGCGGGCATCTTACACTTTGAACAAGCTGTTGAACTTATACACACAGTATTCAGAAATTTATATTTACATCATATTTTGGCATATTTGGTTTAACAGCTTCAGGTGCTTTAAGGTGTGAATTAAATAATGGAGGCAGTTGGAAGAAGACCTAGGAAGGAAGGACCTATTCTGCTTGCATTGTAAGTGGTTCAAACTCAACTCATCTGTTAGAGTTGATTATTATGACACTTTCTCAGTTCTTTTTAACTGCCCACTGACTATTGAGCGGTTCTTTGACGAACTTTTAGGATAACCATACAAAAGGCTGCAAGTGTCCACCAGGATTCGAGGGTGATGGAGTGCACACTTGTGAAGGTAATGTATTTCCACTTCTTGGTTTTACTGATTAATGTCGTGGAACATTACAAAGATGACTGGGATTTACAAGGCTTGTTGGGCCCATTATTTTGCTATGGCTATATCAAATTAGGCGATGACTCTTTTTTTTTTTTTTCTTAATATGAGGTAAGTGGATTGAAAAACTAAATGAGAAGATGGATTAAAGATAGAAGGAAAATATTTTATTAGGATCTTTAACTAGAATCTTTATTTAGCATATATAAAGGATTTCAAGTAACTACTTTTATGTTGTTATTTCAAATCAATCATGAAAAGCTATCAAATTCAATCTTGAAATCCATATCTAAATTTGAGCAATTCTTCAATCTGAATAGTGTCAAATTATTTCCTTTCAAATTCATAAATCCAAATACAACTTTTTTTTTTTTTTTTGATCGGCAAAAAGAAAACTTTATTGATGGAAAGGAAAATTACATCAATAAAGTGGAACTTGGAGCTATAACAAGCTCCAACCTCCAAGTTGGTGAGAAACCAACGAGCAAACACAACAAAGAAAAAACCAGAAAAAACAGATAGCTTAGGCACTACAATCACCAAAAATGAATTCCCACAGCTCAAACATAGCAAACCAAACCCACTCATCTCTCTTAATATGTGATGGGGTAACAGCCAAAACATGATATTCTCCTTGGAGTATATAACAGCATCAGACCCACTATGTGTACCAAATCTCATAACCAGCATGCACCTACCCCCAGCTACCAACAGCAGACCAATTTTGAATCTTCCTCCTCAGCACAGTCCAACCCAGAAATAGAATTAAACTGCAAAATTCCAGCAAGAGTCAACCTGGGAGCTAAGAAGGCAAACTGATAATAACAACCATACAGTAGCCCAAAAACCAGAACACTGAAACTGATGAGCCCCATAACAGAGATAGGCTTCCCAAACAACACAGCCCATGAACCTTTTGCCTTCAGCCTTCCAACTATAGCAGACCAAAATTCATCCATAGCATACCAAAATTCAAAACACCAATATATCACCACAGCACATCCCCAGAAGGCACTATAGCAGAACAACAAACTTCCAAAATTGCTAAGCCTAGTTACTCCACACAGCACAACCCTGAGATGGATTGGCCCCCAGCTGAATCAATTAACTTCAGCAGCTGGCAGAAGAGGATGGGGAGAGCACCTTTCCTGTCCACAGCAAACCAGTGCACAGTCAACAGCTACCCACTACTACAACACCATTGGCTACCACCAATTCAAACCATCTAATATGTGTTAACCATCAGAAGCAAAAACTCCAACTGCACTCCAGCCATACTGCATTCAGAGCATAACATACTATTCTTTCTCCCACACAGATCAACCAGTACAGACCATTTCATCACACCGGCAATTGAAACCTCCTCTGCTTTACCCCACCAGAGCTGTAGAAAGTCACAAAATCCCATTCAATATGCTGCAGAAACTCCTAAGCCAAGCATCTTCTGATCTGTTGCAAATTATGCACTAGGTCATTGACAGTGAAGTTCAGAGCTGGGACATAAGACTTAATCCACAAAGCAATTCGAACCTCAATAGATTCACACAAAGCTAGAAAATTAGGCTCCACCCCATTGAACACCGAGTCATTCCTCTGTTTCCATATGGACCAGAAAATAGCATATGGAATTACACTCCACAGCTTCTTTTCCAGTTTCGTCATGCTACAACCCGACCACCACTGAATCACACTTTGAACAGAACCTGGTGAAGCCCATTGCCACCCCCACCTTCTGACAAAATAAGACCAGATCAGCCACACACGAGGGCAGTGAAGTAACACATGGTTAATAGTTTCCTCCTCTTCTTTGCAAAACACATAACAAACATCAACATTGGCATTTAGGATACCAATTCTGCGCAAATAACTAGCAGACTTGATTCTACCCTTCCACACCAACCAACCAAAGAATTGTGCTCTTGGTGGAGCTGGAGCTTTCCACAAAACTGTATAGATCAAACTATTAGCCCCAAATCCCAATTCAAACCACTGATAAACAGATGAGACACTAAAACAACCAGCTGTATTTGCATTCCAAGTCAAACAATCTGCCACATTAGCTCTAAGCAAAGGAGGCCTACTCAGAAGTACTAGTAATCTACTCAATTCTGCTTCCTCCCAAGCAAAAAGAGACCTCCTAAAATTAAACACCCAATTCCCATATACATCTCTATTGCTGTGAAACATGAATACAGACTCTTCTTTATCAACTGATAGAGAATATAGTCTAGGAAACTCATCTCTAAGACATACACCCTCTATCCAGCAATCAGACCAAAATCTAATTCTTCTACCATCCCCAAGCTTGACCACAGCATTACTCCTAAAAAATTGCATCAGATCTGCCCTAGAAGCCACAGTGTAAATAATATCAGCCCAAGTTTTAGACAACCTACTAGTCCTCTCGGTGGAGGGATACCAACCTGTCTCCCTGTACTTTCGACATATAACATCCTTCCAAAGAGAGTTCTCTTCAGCACCAAACCTCCACCACCACTTCAGTAAAAGGCATACATTCATGATTCTAATTCTCTTAACACCCAACCCTCCTAAGTTTTTACTTTTAGAAACATCCTCCCATTTCACCAAGTGCACTTTCCTCCTCAAATCTGAGCCACCCCAAAGAAAAGCAGATTGAATACTTTCCATCTTTTTTGCTACCATCTCGGGCATCTTAAATATTGAGAGATAAAAAATAGGTAGGCTAGCAAGGACAGACTTAATCAAGGTCAGCCGACCGGCGAAGGATAGATATCTTCTCTTCCAAGAAGCAAGTCTTTGCTTACATTTCTCAATCACTGGCAGCCAAGTTCTGCTACTACTTGGGCTGGCCCCTAATGGCAACCCCAAGTATTTGATGGGCAATTTTTGAAATTTACAATTCAACCTACTTGCAAAATCCTGACCCAACTCCTCTGGAATCCCCACCCCACAGACCACGCTTTTGTTAAAATTAATTCTAAGTCCTGACAAAACTTCAAAGCACCTGAGGATTCGTTTTATATTTACTATTTCCCCCCAATCAGCTTCACAGAACAAAATGGTATCATCCGCAAATTGTAGATGCGTAATCCGCAGACTACTAGGCCCAATAGATGCCCCTGTAATCAGTCCCAAATCTTTTGCTCTACCCATTAAGATATTAAGTGCCTCAGCCACAATAATGAGCAGAAAAGGTGACAGTGGATCTCCCTGACGAAGTCCCTTCTGTGGACTAAATTCAGTAGTTGGAGACCCATTAACCAACACTGAAGATCTTACAGAAGTAACACATACCTTCATCCACCTCACCCATTTAGTTCCAAAACCAAATTTAACTAACATAGAAAACAAAAATTCCCAATTGACAGAATCATAAGCTTTATGAAAATCGAGTTTAAGCACAACTCCACATCCTCTTGCCTTCTTCCACCCATCTACTATCTCATTAGCAATCAGTATGCCATCTAAAATGTTTCTGCCCCTCAAAAAAGCCGATTGAGTTTCACTTATGATCCGAGGCAGCACCTGCTTCAACCTATTTGATAGTACCTTGGCCAATATCTTGTACATGGACCCCACTAAGCTGATGGGCCTATATTCATTTAGGCTAGCTGGGTTCTCATTTTTTGGGATTAAAGCTATGAAGGAACTGTTTAACCCTCTAACTAACTTGGCATTTTGATGAAAGTCCCTCATAAATACCAAATACAACCTTAGATAATAACAATTTGAATTCCTTCTAGGAAAAAGGTGTCCCTTGGGACCCTGCCTATAACACTCCACACTTTCTCATCAAAGATGAAATGTCCTGCATTATGATCATTCTCGTGGCTTTCTTCAACTAAGATGCTCTGCCTTTGTTTCATCTGCATTAATCTGTTTTTCATGCTGACTTGGATTTATTTTTCCTTGAAAATTTATTTTGGTGTCAAGAAAGTAAAAATTCAAGTCGCATTGATTGCAAACAATTAGTATTCTGTCAAGTTTCTTTTTTTATTTTGTTGCAATATTTTATATACCTTGTTCAGTAATACTCTCATTCATGTATTGGTAATACTCATGTATATATCGTAACATATACACTCGCAAATAGCTTTGAAGAGGTGTTTTCTATCGTCTATAATTTATATTAAAAATAACCCACGATAGTGGGCTCTCATTTCTATATGCTATGAAACACTCCATTTTTGTTGTTGTAGTAGTGTGCAACACATGTCGGACAAGACACCACTCAGATATGTGTCGGACATGCCATGTGGCATTTATATTAATTTTTTTAGTGGACATGTTAGAGGACACGTCAAGGACACATGTCCTATTTCTGGACACACCACAGGACATGTTTTGGGATTTATTATAACTCTGGAAAGGTGGTTTGGTAGAGTGATGTACTAATTTGAAAACAAGTGCGTGGGATATGAAAAAAGGAAAAGAAAAGAAGAGAATGATCATTAGGCTGGGCATTTCATCCTTTTCACTTCTTGTGTCTTTAATCTGACCCCTGTTTAGTTCATACTTATTTTTTCCCCTCATATATGCTCGTTCATATTTAGTTCTTGGGACATAAAATCTGGTTGTTTTTTTCATGTTAAAGTAGTGTTATCAGTGTTTGTGTTCATGCCCGTGCTTTTTAGTCAATGTGGTTATCTCATAAACAAATGCTTATCATTTCATTTTCATGCATTTGAATTATTCCAGTCGGGAGAGTACACAACAACAGCAACATGTAGACCAGAACAATGCTTCCATGGAATTGATCAATAGTGTGACTAGCACTGATGAGGAGGGTCGGTCTCGGCAACAGAATCTTACATTTGCTGCCAGGAGGTAGTCATTGATTTTGAATTATGAATTATCAGCTTGTTTGGCATTACTTTTGTTTCTTTTCAAATTTTATAATAAGACGTTGAGTTGTATGCTTCTAGAATATCACACAAAAATTATGGCAAAGAAGTAAATTATGACAAAAATACATGTTTATAAGCAAAGCCTATTGAACTCTCTATACCGTGACAAAATATTTTTTCTACTTTTCAAGTGGTTGAAGGTTCATAAAATTCCGAACTTGTCAAAAGTAGTGGATCTACTGTTGTTGAAGGTGGTAAGCTTTTTACTTTTAACTTTTAAAATGTAGCTGTTCAGTGTTGATCTTTGCTTCCAAACATAATCTCAAACCTTAACCCGATTGTTTTTGTTGCACTGGATGTGTTTCACAGAGCCTCGTCTTCTGTTGAATTTTTTAATACGCCTTCAGTCATTGTCGTTTTCAAGATTAACGAGTGGGGGATTGTTGCCCAACTATCTTTTTGGAAAGATACATCGGCATACCGTTTTCTTTCTTTTCGGCTTTTCTCTGTCGCTTCTTCTTCTTCTTCCTCTTCCTCTTTATAATATGAAACCTTAATTTGGTATATTACTTGGGCTTAAGCTTTTGGGCCATGTTGGTAACTTGGTATACCCACTCTGTTCAATTTGTTTGGCCAGTAGGTTACTTGGGGTGTGAAAATTCTTCAAATTGGACTTGACATGTACAGTGGCAGCACTCTCTTCATTTTGGAGACAAAAAGTTAAATCTCTTCAATGGAAATATTGACTAATAATTTACTTTCATTTCAAGCTCTATGTTCTTAGTGTTTATGCTTACAGCTTTGTAACCTATAAAGCCAGAATTTTTTCCTTTGTTAACTGTAGTCTATAGTTAGTAACCTATAGTTAGTAACCTATAAAGCCAGAATTTTTCCCTTTAGTTAGTAACCTATAAAGCCAGAATTTTTCCCTTTAGTTAGTAACCTATAAAGCCAGAATTTTTCCCTTTAGTTAGTAACCTATAAAGCCAGAATTTTTCCCTTTAGTTAGTAACCTATAAAGCCAGAATTTTTCCCTTTAGTTAGTAACCTATAAAGCCAGAATTTTACTCAAATTGTACTGAAGTAAGGTCAGAGGAAGACACAAATCCTGGTTGTGTGAAAGTTATTGTGTTGGGTGGTTTTGATGATGAAACTCGATTTGGGATATAAATTTCAAGGAATGGTGTAGGGCGTTACAAATTGGGAATAAGATTTGGAAACGCGAGAGGTTTGTTTAATCCTTGTCTACTTTGTTAAACAAGGTTTTTAATTAAATAAATCATCCAGAAAACTTCCCCCCTTTCTCTTTCTCTATCTTCCCATGTTTAAGTAGGCAAAGCATATAGAGTAATAAAATTGAAACAAAGGTATGGGAAGATTGTAACTGTCTTGGCATCTGATTATCAAAAATATTATTTTTGCTATCTCTGCATATGATTTAATTTTGTCTGACATCATCACTTGTTGGGTTAAGGGTTGTTAATGTCTCTAGTTCTCAACCTTTTCTTTTCACTTATATCTGCTGGTTATTATTATTTTTTCCATTGTTAACTGTAGTCTCCTACTTTTGCATTTATTAGGGGAAAAAAGAAGAAGGTATTTTTCATTTTGTTTAGCAGTTTCGTTGCAATATATCCCGTCCTGGCGAATTATCAGCATTGCCTTTTTATTTTTTAACTACTCATATACCTTAAAATTGTTCTGTTTCAACTGGTGTCAAATCAAAGCTATTCATGGTTCCACCCCAACTTGAGCATCTGTTTGAGTAACTCATTATGGTAAGTATATAAATGACAAATCTTTCTGTTTCAACTGGTGTCAAATCAAAGCTATTCATGGTTCCACCCCAACTTGAGCATCTGTTTGAGTAACTCATTATTGTAAGCACATAAATGACAAATCTTTGCAGCTAGGCCTATGAGTCTATGACTAAGAGTGTAAATCTTATGATCAACTTGCATGATAGGAAGTAAATGACTACATCAAATTGAGTGAGCTAGAGAAAAACCGCAAGCTGAAAAGTTTGTAAGAAAAGTTTGTAATTTTTTTTTGTTCGTATAGCATTTTCCATTTTGTTTACTTAGTTTTTACATGAAATTTCTAACAAGTTTCCAATAAGCTTTGTTTGACAATTGTTGGGTCTCATTTATGCAAACAAAAGACAGTTACTGATCCTACATTCTATTTGTGAAATTAGAATAGTTTGATTGAGAAAACAGAGATAATTAAGTTATCCTTTCTTGAAAAGAGAAAGCTTTTATCTGTAATCATGTCCAAAAAAAAAAAAAGAAAAAAAGAAGAAGGAGAAGGACAGAGAGCAAGACTTCTTTGTTTGACGATTTGGTTCACCCTGAACTCAGATAATTCTTGTGATCATAATTGCAGTAACAGAATTCATGAAGTGTTCTAATTCTTGACATGGACAATGTGATTACTATTGACAATGTGATAGAATTTTGTTAGTTATTTATTTATTTAATAGGCCCTATTTGGTATTGTTTTCATCATTTAAAAAATTCAATAAATAGATTTAAAGTGTTTCATAAAAAATAGGTGCTTACCATTTTTTTTTCCAAACGTTTGGACGATCAATTTATTATTATTATTATAGCAAAGTTATTTTTGCATTGTTAGTTATTTGTATAATTGTTCAAATCAATTTGTTGGAAATTGTTAATTTCACAGTTCTTTTTTATGGATTCCCAGCCCTGTCTCTGACACAACCCTCTCTCTCATATAGCAGGCTCCACCATGTGAGAGAGAGGTGCTATGGATCCGATCTGCCAAAGAAAAGTGAATTTATCAATATCCCAATTTATTGCATCTTGGAGTTTAGATAGTTGTTTTAAAATATTTAGTTATTTTTTTACTTGTCACATCTCACATTGTCAGTTTAGAAAAAATAGCTTTTCCATCTTTGATTATTTATGAGGAATATGAACGGGTTAATTTAACATTCTTTATGTTCTTTAACTTTTCAGATTTCTTCTAATGGATGAGACTTTCTTGCTAGAAAATCGATTGACACTCAGAGCCATGTAAGTCTCTCATCGTCACAATTTAAAACCATAAGTTTTGGAGCTTTGTAAGTTTGAAGGACATGGTTAGAAAGCTGACTCTCATTTTTCTTCTTATTGTTCTCTCTCCCTACCGATCTGAATTTGGTGTCCTTTTGATCTACTGTTACTTATGTGACCGTACAATTCTCTTCGGTGAATCAAAAAGGTTTTGCCAATGCCCTCATCTTATAATTCATACTTTTCATTCCGTGAGTTTGTTATTTTGTTCGGTGAAGTATGTGCTAGACCAAATTTAAATCTTAAAAAGAAAAGTTCAATGTGAAAAATATAGAAAGAGGAATGGGTGGATATCACATTCTTTAACAACTTTGAAATGTTATTTTAAAATATATATATATATGTATATCCCAGAACTTTACGAGGAAGTGAAAGGATTAGCGAGGTCATAACCTGATCCACTTATATGGGCATAACCTAATGAACCAACACTCATAGAAATGAGAGATAACAAAAGCAAAATTACACGTCGACGGACTAGCTGCTATCAGATGCTTCTGTCTCTCTTCTGTTTCCTTGGATGTGTAACCAAACAATTAGGGAGGACTTCACCTCTCCACATAAAATTCACAATGGCCAGGATATACAGTTATTGTTTTTTGTATCTATTTCACTTATAATTTGGTCCATCTGCATCAAAGTTGTGTCCAATGAGCTTGTCTTTTAACCATAATTTGTTTTTGCAGAGTTACAATCAGGATCTTTTCTTATTTCTCTACTTCTTTCTCATCATAGTTTCAGCAATTACTTCTTTCAAGATTCATCATGATAAGTCACCAATCTCAAGAAAATCCATACTGTATCTGAACAAGCATCAAACTGAAGAGTGGAAAGGTTGGATGCAGGTTAGTCAGTTTTTAAGATGACATGTCTATTTCTTAGAATTGTCTAATTTAATGTTACTTGTTTTCAGTGTAAAAGAAACAATTTATTTCCTGTGTTTGTTTCTAGTCTCTTGTGATTTGTTTGGAAGTTTGAGCTCTAATCAATATAATTCCCTCCCACTCCTTTGTGTTTCTCTACCTGAAAACACTTCCTGTCTTGTCTGCATCTTATAGTCAATCCATAGAAAATATATTGGTAGTTGATAAAGAGAAGTAACTTTGAGATGGGAAATTGCAGTTGGAAATGGTTAGAGAGAGAGAGAGAGAGCGAGAGAGACAGAGTCAACAAGTTGCTGAAAGTTTATTTATTACCCTGCTCTATAATTGGAACTAGGAGCAGTTTGTGAAGGGCCTGGGAATGTTGCCTTCAAGTTTAATTGAGGTGGGATGCTGATCAAATCTTTTGGTTATAGGACCTCCAAACTACACTCTGTCTGAAGTCATTAATCCTGTGAATAAATTAAAGCCCTTTTTAGCCATAAGAATTTTGTTTTCACTTCCTAATCAGATGAAACATCTAGAATAACTTCTCCATGCTTAAATTCAGCATTAACTTGCCATTCCTTGATGTCCATTTTGTTGTCAATAAGAATCTTCTGGCACCCAAGTTCGTTGGCTGGGTTGAATTGGCTCTGTTTTCTTATTGGACAAATATAAAATTGACTTGGACTTGCATCTCTTGGAACTTTTCAAAGAGAAAAACACATTTTGCATCTACTCATTTTGTTAATCATCCAAAATTTTAAGAAGAGGCATATTTGAAATATTCATCGGGGCACTGCCTCTTGTAATTTTGCATCAACAGCGTGTAGTGCATTGATGAGTTGGGCACTGTTTACATTTGCCTACTTTTATATAATATAATATTAAGACATTTGATTTTCTTATGGTTAGTTCTTTTTTTTTCTGCTTTGTTCAGTCAAGTGATCCCGCAGATAACGATGCATAGAAAGATAAAGGCACTGGTTAGCTTGCTATCAAATGTAAAGAGGGTGTTAACAAGGGCACAAGAGAATCCAAGCCAACAATTCTCGTTCGAAATGACGTATGTTTCTTCTTACTGTTTTTTATTTTCCCAAGTTGAATTCAGCTTGAAATCTTGTTAAGAAGCCGAATCTAATAGTTCGAAATGCCACCCTTGTGGTTGATGCTTGCTGGGCTGCTGCTGCTGCTGCAATGTTGCTGTGAGGCGGCCGCTACTAGATGTTGGTTTGCTAGATAAGTTTGTGGATACTTTTTGTGTCGTTTTGCCTGCCTTTGTTAGTTTCATGTTTTCATTTTGTTGTCTGTTGTTTGTAATGTGGGTTCACAATTTGGATGTATTTTGGTATTTTAGTGAGTTTACCCTTTTAGGTTTTATACACTGCTTCTAAAAGCAGTATCAACAGTGTTTTTTTTTTCTTACACATCAACTTTAGGTGATTTCATATCAATATTATTAGTTTGTAATAGTGGTGCCTGAGGGATGCCTCTTGTAAATCTGTAAATCTTATAAAAATATATAAATTATTTTCAATTATTTTTGTTGGTAAATGTGTCGTCAAAAGTTTATTTTTGTCCACTCATATTGTGTTGCTATAAGTGTATTTTTAGCCAATGTTAATTTGTCGTTGTCAAAAGTAAACCTTTATAGACAAACAAATCATCGGCAAATGGCAATATTTACCGACGTAATTGTGTTGCTAAAAGTTTATTTTTGGCCACTCATATTGTGTTGCTAAAAGTGTATTTTTTGCCAATGCTAATTTGTCGTTGCCAAAAGTGAACCTTTATCGACAAACAAATCGTAGGCAAATGGTAACATTTACCGACGTAAATGTGTCGCAAAAAGTTTACTTTTGCCAACGCATATGTTGTTGCTAAAAGTATATTTTTTGCCCATGCAAATTTGTGTCGCGAAAAGTGCCACACAATCATCCTATTTGAATGACTTTTACCAACGCAAGGTAAATTGCCGACGATGGATGGAGGCTTTTAGCGACGACTATGTTCGTCGCTAAAGGCATTACTTTTACCAATGCAATCATAATTTCATCGGCAAAAACTTTTGCCAACTCACTTTTGCCTACGGGTTGCCAACGTAGCTTTGTGTGTCGGCAAAACTCTTTGCCAACGAATTTTCCCTTTTAGCAACATATTTTGTTGCGTTGCGAAAAATGCAATTTCTTGTAGTGTTCGACGATGAGGAGATTGGTGTCTCTCCCGATCCCTTGAAGTCCTATTTTCCATACGTGACGGTTCACCAGTTCGACTCATATATCCTCCCAGCTCAACTAGCGTCCTCACTTCCCCCCTGCTGTTGAAGAAAAGTCTACTTGACATTCGCACTTGTTTAACCTTCCTCAAAGAGCTGGACTGAGTTACTGACTGAGCATATAAATAGGAACTCAAAGAGCTGGACTAACTGAAGAGAAGTCTATGCACCCATTTATTTCCTACGAGGGCAGCACCTTCGAGGCGATCTCATTAATACTGAAACCTTAACAGCCCCGCGCTGACTGAGTCATATGCCCGAATTGAAACCTATGAGGGTAGCACCTCCGACTGTTATTCGGCGTTTAATGTTCATGAACCAGCTGGGGAAGGGCAGATTCATCAATCTAGTCGCCTTGAGTGCCCCAGCCTTTTGCACGAGCCGATTCACCAGTATAATATTCATAAGTTTCTGTTATTCGGCATTTATTGTTCATGAACTAGTTGGGGCAAGGGCAGATTCATCAATCTAGTCGGCTTGAGTGCCCCAGCCGTTCCACGCATCGATTCATCAATACAATATTCATAAGTTCATGTTATTCGACTTTTAATGTTCATGAACCAG